GGCCCGCTGAGGCGAGGGCAGTGACCGCCGCCTCAGGGCGGAGAGCCCGACCCTCGTCCCGGATCGTGCCCTGCCCCTGCCTGCGTACACACCGCGGGGGACGCGCTCCAGCGCAGGCAGCGCCGCCTTTATTGCCATAGAGTCAGGTGGCACCGCGCAAGGACCGCAGCAGCCTCCGACCTACGTGGCAGGGGCTTGGTTCGTATATGCTTCGGCAGTCTTAAACCATGTCTTCTCTACAGCTTCTTGGCCCACCTCGAACATTTTCATTAAGTGTTTCCATCCGGTTTTGGCTGTGATCATGAGGTATTCCTTATTCTCTGGGTACCGCAGAGCTGTGTGGGCTGCTATGACAAGGGACTGAGAAAACCTCCCACTCACCAAGAGAAAGAGGGCACCTCTCTCCTCCTCTGTGAGTGGCAGGACACTTTCAAACCCTGCGAGAACATGCCCTCCAACATTCAGAGGATCTGGGCTCTCAATCATCATGTACATGATAGCTATTGCGACTTCAAATACGTAATACCCATAACTCATGTCGCTAAAATCCAGGATGCCGGACACCCTGTACTGAGGATTCTCCAGGGAAGCAGAACTGGAGTCTACCAGAATGTTGTGGTCATTAAGATCTCCATGATTGATACCTAAACACAGAAGAAATAGAAACAGTATTTAATAATTATTAAAGAGCAGAATCCAACTTTTTTTTTTCCATTTCTCAGTGAAACAGGCTTGAAAAGATGCACAGAGGCTCCAGCTAACACCCAACCACAAAACCATACTTGTCTCCCTCAGTATCAAGTGTTGCCTTTCACGGCCTTACTGCTTCCCAGGAACCTCCATTCCACTAACAGGTGACCAGATAGCAATTGGTAAAGGGAGTGTTATGAGATCTTATTCTGGTCTGGTACTACATGTGATATGCTACGTGTTTTCTAAACATACATAGCAGTTATCAAATTATCAAATTGTCAAATTATCATCAACATCAATGTGAGTTGAATTCCAAAAAATATGATTAAATAGTTATTTGGGCCTTGATGAAAGGAAGTAGTGTACTCCATATATTCTTATTAAGCTCACGTAACAGCATGAAAATCATCACTTCAACTGGTAGCAAACTCATCAGAAAGATCAAGAACTGAACCTGACTCTGGACAGCACATTTCTCCTGGCTTATTCTGCGCTGTTTTCATTCAGCACAATAGTTGCACGTGTCTAGCTAGGGATAAAGGAGACTTCTTTTTTGCCTTTTTTTGCCTTCTCCACAGACCAAACCCTCTAATAAATTTCAGTGTCTCAGTTCAACATAATCACAATGAGAATAAAATACTCACAGGCTCGAAAACTGCTTAGCTTGGGTATTACTTTCCCTTTAAACTGCTCAATAACTTGTTCCACAACTTCACGATACTTGGTCTGGCCCAAGGCATAAATGTACTGATCTAGAAGAGGAACGTTTGCCAGGTTCCAAATGAACTGACCTCGATGCAGACTTTTTACTGATGGATGATGGAATTTCTTTGGAAAAAAGCACAAGATAAAATAGGCCATAAGTAAAAATCCTGGTTTTATGATTAAAGGGCTTGACTCAAAGCCCCTATTAACTTTAACAGGTTCCTAATGAGACTCACTGAAAAGCACCATGACTTTGATTATTGCTTTATATCAACCAGTAAAAGAATAACCTGAAGAATGATTAAGGTAAGCATCTTAGTATCTACATACAACCCGAATGGTTTTTTCCCCATTCTTTAGGTACAAAGATTATCTTAAGTCATTCATCACTTCAGTAATTTAAAATTGATACTGACTTTCTGTAATGTGACATTATGTAGTGACTTCGAGGCCTTGCCCAGGCCAGAGTCCCACACTGGCAGAGCCCGGCTTGCACAGCTGGCGCTACACAAAGCTGTCAGAGCAGAAGAGACACAAAACCTGCCAGCGCCCTGGGAACAGGCACACTGTGCATTTAGAGGTGGCGGCTTCTGGGGACGAGCCTTAGGATCAGCTGGTAGATGAAAAATCCTGAGGACAGAAGTACTTTATGGAGATACTGGGCAGAGCTTTATTCTTATGAAAATTTGCCTAAATTAGGTAGCCTAAATATTTTAAACAACAAGGTCCCCAACCTCTCTCTCACTAGCAAATGAAAAAGGTGGTTTGGAAAGTGACATTCAGGGAGAAAAAGCATCTCTCCCACTGCATAACACTCTTATCCTCAAATCCTCTAATGCTTATTAAGGTGGCTTGTGGGCCAGACTCTATCAGAGCATAGGGCAAATAAAAAAACCTTCCTATAGAGTAGCTAGCTTCCTCTTAAAAAGAAACCCATGCTTGTAATTAAGGCTCTTAGAGATAGCTAAATGGTAGTCAAAACTAGAACCATGTATGAAAAAGTAAGGAACAAGATCAAACCTAAACCAGAAATCACAATACAGGATCCCTAATGCTGTATAAAGCACCACATCGGAAGGAAGAATGTCATCTGGTAAGCAACCACTGCAATCTTGCCAGCATAAATCAGATATTCCAGCAAGCTAGAAATGGGTTACGAGGTGTATGAAGGGTAATAAAAAGTCATGAGCCCTAGACAGTCACTTTACAGCCATAAACTTAACTTATTTCCATTTAGAGGATGTGAGGAACATCTGAGCAAAAGGAGACACCAACAGAGAAAGTGGTGGAATACTATTTTGTGCACAAAACAAAGCATGGCACATTGCTTTGCTATCAAGTTGACAAAGTTAACTGGATAGAAAAGACAGGCTGTATTTTCTGATCTGTCATCAGAAAACTTAATACCTTAGTTATTATTTTTAGTGTCAATGATATTTTGACATTTTGACAGTAATGATTGTAATTTTCTTTCTTTTAAATGACAAATCTTGGTAGATGATAATCCATATGTTAAGGGCGTAACAAGCCTTTTCCATCAAATCTGCGTTCTTGTCATCTATTGCCTCCTTGGCAGGACAAGTCTCAGGCATATTTGGTCTATATACATTGTTTTAATCGCATTATAAGAGCATGACCAGAGTGTTAGAAGGCAACAGTAAATTATCTTTCCCAGTTGAAAAATGCTCTTGTAATTTAAGAATGTGGTTAGTAAAGCTGGCAATTCACATTTCATAATTGTCTGAAGCCGGTAGCCAGAACATGAGAAGGAAAGGTTAATGAAAGGCAATAAATAATGCAAGAGTTCTTTTATGTATCAAACTTAATTACTGGCTGATTTATCAGCTTTATTATCCTGTATAATTACAGAGTAAAGAACGAACTTTCTTTGCATTAGGATTATTTGACTGGAAGCAGTGCAAATGAGAGAAGTGTCACAAATCTCTGTTCATTGGCACAGCTGGCATGGTAGAGAAGGAACCAACGCTACCAATGTTAAATGGTCGCAGTTCTAATGACCAGGAGAAAGAGAGCAAGTCAAAATGAATTCAAAATAATAGATCAGACAGCTGTGCCTGAGGTGCACTATACAAAAATGCTTTAAAACAAGCTTTACATGCTTCTAATTTGGGCAATTAGAAGCCCAAATTTGGGCAATTAGAAGCCTGGGTTCACTCTCCTTATTCACCAGGTTTGAAATACTGAACGGGTGAGTTTTGCGTAAGTAAAAAGAAACCCTTATCTCCCTGTCCATGGTACAAAAATGCATTGCAAAAGGATCACCAATACCGTGTCATAAGCACCAACTGGTCACCTTTCTTGCGGAAATGCTTTAGTAACAGCCAGCTTGGAGGTTGGCAACTGAAAGATGAGTTAAACTGACATCCGCATTCACCAACTTGAATTTCGCAGATTGGGAAAGCAGACAGCAAGCAAGAAGAAATACAGAGGAGAAATTAATTGAGAAAGAAGTTTGTGAGGCTGGAGCAACGAAAACTCACCTCTGAGAGCGCTTTATCCAAACTGGCAGCTAGCTTACCGACCTCATAGAAAATCTGAGCATTTGTAGCAATTTTTGCTACAGGCGTACCTGGCAGGTAAGTCAGCAGTCTGACCATGTACTTTTTGTTCCCAGGTCCAGTATCTAACAGGCAAAGAGAGATGCAGTCAGTCGCTTCAATATATGCTATTGAGTATTAGTTAACGCAAGAGGCAAAAAAGGTTTATCCCAGTGTAGAAGTCATCAGAGGTAGCTGATTTCATTCAAAGATTTAATTTACCAGAATGTTGTACGATGATGTGCAAACCTTAACACACTTGCAATCTATGCTGGACTTCTAGTCCTTGTGCTTGGAATTGACTCTGCATACAGCAGGTTTCCTCCAGTGCTCGCAGACACCCACTTACGGAGTTTTGCAGCAGAACAGGAGGTCTCAGGAATCCCAGCTTTTGTATGGGAGTTACAGTGAAAATAAAAGCAAAATGTCAACACAATTTTTCTTCCAAGCGCTGTTGAAGCAATTTGTTCTGGCATCATAAATGGGCTAGAACTGTATTTTACACCATTCTGTAGGCAAATAATTTGTAACAACATTTAGTCAATGAGGCTTTTTTTTTCCTTTTCTTGTGCATGGACAGGTCAGATCAATGTTTTCTGCAATTCATTATACTGAAGTTATTTCCTAAGTGTTTTCATAGTTAATTATTACTCTCTTTGACTTGCTTTGCTTCTAGTATTTTAAGTTTGGACTATTATGGCTGGACATAATATATCCTCTAATATTTAAAAATAAGCCTAGAGTTTTAATTTAGTATATATATGGCATGCCATATAGCAAGCTACTGCCAAGCTAAGGGTGATAGTAGGGCAGTAAAAGTGCTTGTAATTGCTCACCTCCTGACTCCAGAGACATCACGTTACCATCTTTTGTAAGATAAGGAGTAGCTGAAGGAAAGCCTTCGGCGCTGAGAAACATCATGGCCTGGGTCTGCACTTCAATGAGGGCAGGCTTCTGGCTGTCTTCCGAATTGGTGATTTTGAGGACATACTCATCAGCACCTTCAGCTGCACCTTTGTTTCTTGAGACACGTACGTGGAAATTCTGGTCGTCGTAGCTGGGGAGTGGCCTGATCCAAAACACCTTTAATCCAAACACCCTGTCAACCAACTCAGTCGCTTCTTTTTCTCCAAGTGCTGGTTTGGTGAGTGCCTGGGGTCGACAGTCATTTCCAGAAGACATTGTGTCTCTAGGAGAAAAAGAGAAGCCAGATGATCTTACCTGCATTCTGGCATCAGAAGCAGTAATTACTGCAACAGAATGCATTCGGATACTGGAGAGAGTACATTAAACAAGCAAAAAAAAACCACTAAGCCAGTCCAGGTTTCTTACATCACGGTTTCTTGTCAACTACTTAGTCTGCAGCCCCCCACAAGAAAGACTTCTAGAGGGATGCATTCAATCTGTTGAGAACAAGTAGACGTGAAAAGCTTATTAACTAGGAGTATTTTTCTTAGCTAATTTCCAGTAGCAGCCTAAGCTGGTATGTTGCTAACCAGGAATGATTTCCTAAGGAACAGAGTTGCTGAATCCCTGTCCAGGAAGTTCTAAATTCACATCTGCAAGAGACAAGAAATATTTTATTAGATCTTAATGTTAAAGCAGACATAATCTTTCTGCCTGGTCACGGCCTTCAGAATTCCTGCGTTAAGAAATGCAGAACAAACCTACAGACGCTCGCTCCGTCTCTCGCCCGCTCCAGGTCTCGGCGCCTGCCCCGCTGCTGGAAGCGCCG